TTCCTAATGCCGTGACCCTTTAATACAGTTCCTCATGTTTCCTTGCTACTTCATAACCGTCATTTTGCTACTGTTATGAATAGGGTGACCCCTGTGAAAGGGGCTGCAACCCACAGGTTGAGAACTGCTGCTCTAGGCACTTAACTAGGAGAGCTGTATGTTTGCTGACCTAAGGAGTGAGAGCTGAAGCTTACGGTGGAGTAGGGTGGTGGAGTAGGGTGCCCTTTAGGCATTTGTTGGCAGTCCTGAAGGAGCTTTGTAACATTACCCAAGCAAGGCAGCGCCGCTGGGCCAAGAGGCTGAAGGTCAAAGAAAGGTGTGCCTGTGGGACACAGCAGAGAAGAGGCTGTCAAGACTGAACAACAGTATCCTGAGTATTTCTCACCTAATTTGTAACCTGTTAACTGCCCAGTAAACCCCATAATCCTGAGTATGGTGAGTTGTATGTGGCCACCACAATGAATTATCAAACCCAGGTGAGAAGTAGAGTACTGCGGGTGGAACTGCTGGTGTCAAAACTGGAAAGGTTGGCAGGTGTCTCACAGCAACAGGCCTTAGGCAGCGGATGCTGGTGATGGTACTTATCCTTGCCCTGCTCAAGTCAAAGGAGGTCAGAGCGGTCACCTGGCCTTTTTATTTTTCAGCCCTCCCTTGCTCTCCTATTTCATAGAGGAAACATAATTAACGATACAGAAGCTCTCTAATCTTCTAATGATCTTATTAACTAGATGTCTGATACATTTTTCATGTTTTAAACAAATATTTTAAATTTTAATATTTCTTCTACTTTACCACTTTGTTAACTCTGGGCAAACTCCTTTTATTGAATCTTTGCTCATTTTTTAGAACTATACTTTTTTATTCCTTTTACTCTTCTTAAATTTCATTTTTATTATTTAAAGTTTCTGCTCATTCTCTTAATTCATTTGCTAAACTTTTTTTATAAATCTAAAATTATTTCAAAATGAATAAGGAAAAGAATCTCAACAGTGAACCGAAGGATTCGGGCAGTTAACATGTTAGGTGGCATCCGGTCAGTTCTGACTGACAGGGGCCCCACGTGCAGGACTGCGCCATCCTCACCACCACTGCCATGCTCGAGCCATTGTTGCAGCCACGAGGATGATCCAGCACGCTGACAGCATTCCTCTTTTTAATTGGTGTTCTACTTTACCAAGCATGACGTCCTTTTCCAGGGACTGTTTTCTCCTCACAACGTGTCCAAAGTATACGAGACAACGTTGCCCCATCTGTGTTTCTAGCAGAAGGTGCATTCTAGCTATACTTCTTCCAAGACAGGATAGCTTGTTCTCATTTTCGATGTATTTTCAATATTCCTCACCAACACCAAAATTCAGACACACCAATTCCTCAACCGTCTTCCTTATCCCTTCCCTTTCACGTGCATATGACGCAAATGAGAATACTGTGGTTTGGGTTAGGCGCACCTTACTCTTCAAAGTGATATCTTTGCCTTCAACACTTTACAGAGGTTTTGTGCAGCAGGGTTACCCAATGCAATCAAGTTGTTTAATTTCTTGACTGCTGCTTCCATAAGCCTTCCATGTAGATTAAAACTCAAAGGTAAAGAAATCCGAAATCCTCACATCTGGACCAATAAAGAACATCTTGATAAATGGAGAAAAGATTGATGGAGTAAACTCCTATCTCTGAGAATGCCCATATCTCTGAGAATGCCCACCTGACACAGTCCTTCAAGCTCTGCAATGCATGGCTCCAGGGAGGGGCAGACCCACAATCTACACTGTGGCAGTGCTGCTGCATTGGATAGGAAGGAATAAAGGGAACATTCATTTGGCCAGCTTCTGCAAGTCATTGCTCTGAAATTCTAAACTCCTTCAGATAAAAAATGTCTTTCCTTTTAAATAAAGAAAAAACTGTGAACTTTGACAATCCATGAAGCAGTAAAATATTTTTGTGGATCTGTTATATTAAAAAGCACAGATACAGAAACCAAGAGACACCGTGACATTGGAGCAGGAACCAGGAGCCACAACAACAGACCCAAGAGCAAGAGCGTAAGACAAAGCAGTGGACTTCTCAGTCCAGCTCAATGCAGGTCACAAAACAGTGCCTACTGGGTATTACAAATCATTCTATAGGCCTCAACATTTTAACATGCTTTGCATAACCTCCTGAGTGGACGGACCCCTCTACTTTAAATTTAACTGGCCCAGCAGATCCCATTGGAAGCCTCTGTTTTGACTGAACCTTTTTTGTGAACACACCCAAATGAGACTAAGAAAATGCAAATCTGAAATGCAGTATGACTGGGAGAATCCTGCAGCCATCCTGCAATCTCTGATCTGAGACGTGTTTGAACATACTTTGTTTGGAACACACCTCTGCATGCATGAATTGGAAACTTGTGGAAATGTTTTCTTACCCTCATAAAGATTTTGTCTTGTCTCCTGACAATATTCTGATACTTAAAGCTCTGCTGAGAGTTAGGGGAAAAAATGCTTAAAACTGGCCAAAAACAAAACAAAACAAAAGAACTAAATGCTAACTCATAGCGAACCCCTGTGGGTTTCTAAGACTCTTAACTGTTCACAGGAGTAGAAAGCCCAGTCTTTCTCCCAAGAAGCTGCTTGTGGTTTCGAAGTGCCAGCCATGCAGATCACAGCCCAACGCATAACCACCACACCACCAGGGCTCCTAAACTCTGCTAAAAGCTTTTTTTTTTTAAAAAGTGCACTGAAGTCAGTTCAATTGTACCTAATCATGGTGACACCAGTATGTTTATTACACCTGCTCCATGGAGTTTTCACGACTTTGCTTTTACAGAAGCCAAGTGTATCTTCAGAGGGCCTTCTGAGTGTGAACCTGCAACCTAATGGCTAGGAGATTGCTGTTGCCACAGAAAAGTGAGACCCACCTAAGGAATCTTGGCTTTAAGTCAGGAAGGTCTCTTTCGCTTACCAATTACATGACACTTGACAAGTTATTTAACTTCAATGAGCAAAACTGCCTCATCTCTATTAGCACAAAGTCCTAGTAGTACCTAAACCACATCTTGACAATAAGGTTATTAATCCTTTCTAAATTCAAATTCTATATAATAGAAATGAAAACAATTACCATAAACAGTCAATTAAAAAAATCTAGAATATTATCTTGAACTTAACATTAGTAAATCAATTAAAAAAAAAAGTATAAGACACTTTCTCTAGGCAACGCATCACAACTTCCCTTGTTGTTTGCTTGTGTATTGTGATACACTTTGGAAATTTCAACTTCTGCAGCAGCCAATCCTTTCTGGAATTTAGTAAGCCTCCTCAGGATGAAAACTGATTAGTACAGATGTTGCTATAGACATAGAAGTCGGTAAAAATCTGAGCAAAAAATATAATGATCACGAAAGAAACCTCAAGGTCCAGCAAGATAAGAACAGGGGACTTAGAAATGATAGTGATACTTTGATAAAAATCATGACCATCTATCAAAGCTAACATAAATTGAGCACTATGGTCAACTGTACCCAGGTACATTTCTGTGTCAAGTGAGTCTTGTTTTTAATCTTCAAATAAATCCTGTGACAGACACCCTTAACACCATTTTACACATAAGGAAACTGAGGCATACAGCAGTTGGGACCTTTATCAAAATCCGTGGCCTAGCAAATGTGTGCAAGTGACAGAGCCAAGTTCAGCTACAGAGCTACCAACTCTTGCTTCCCCTGCTATTCTGCCTTCCAGTGGATATTAGACTAATCATGTTTACCACACATGCCACTTTTGTGAGAAAACTGCTGCCACTTGCCCAGGCATCCACTTAAAGATTAGAAAATAATTATTAAGGATTACCAACTCCATAAACGAAGGAGCCCTGGTAAGCAGAGTGGTTTATGCACTAGCTGCTCAGCAGTGGAAACCACCCCCGGCTGGGCAGAGAAAGAGTTTTCTAGCCAGGGAAAGAAACTCATAGGGTTGCTAGGTGTGATGGCCACTCAATGGCAGTGAGTGCTTTTGTGTGTGTGTTTGTTTTCAATTTACTCCATGAATTACAGCTTATATTCAATCTGAAAACAGGTTTCTAAAGTTTCATCATACATTCACTATGCATCACTTGAATTACAGCAAGCGGGTCTAGATATGCCTTAAACTGAGGCTGAAAATCCACACGAGTCATTGCTCTCCACTGATTTTTTTCGGGGCTTACATACAGCTCACTGTAAATGAAGTATAGTATTGCCAAGCAAACAACAGTGACTTCCTATCACCAACATTTAGATTTGATTTTATTTCTTTCAAACTACTGCCTGAAACTAGCCTATCTCAGTCCTGTTTTTTAACCGATTTAAGAAACATTACCTTTCCTTATTTTAAACACTTCCACATTTCCCCTTAACACTTATCTGTTGGGTTCGTCCAACAATAAAGGTGCAAATCCACCGCCAGTTGAGGCTGGGTGTCAAGTGCTCCCACGGAAAATAGGTGCTAGACTAGAGGGGCCGCGTCCCGAGACTGCAGACAGTGAATAGGGTGACGGATGGATGGGAACAGCCCCTGCGGCCGGCCCGCCCGATTCGGCTGCAACCGACCCTTGGCGGCCTGACTCCCCCAATTCTCCCGGGAAACTCAAAGCAGAGACTGGACGCGGAAACGGAAGAACAACGGGTGGAAGGGCTTCCGCCGGTCCCGGGATGCCCAAACCGCACGGGACAGCAGGGAAAACCGAGGGAGCGGGCGTTCCTCGTCTCCAACAACGAGGCAGCGCCCAGCAGGCCTGTGGGTGGCCAAAAGCAGGGAAATCAACGCAGGCGCAAACAGGAACTAACAGTGACAAGGAGGGACGGCCCAGGCTCCGAGCTCAGGGTTCCGCGCCCCTCGACCCCGGTCCGGGGGTGCGAGGTCAAAGGGCGGCGGCGGAAGCGCGCCAAGTGGATTGGCTTGCGGGCCGGCCGCGCAGGCGCTCCAGGTGGGGCCCGTGCCCGCCGCAGCGGCGTGTGCGGACCTCCGAGCCCTCCGGTTTCTTACCTGGGTCGGCGAGTCACGGGCAGCGGCGCGGGTGCAGGGGGCTCGCCGGCCGCGGCCAGAGCAGAGCGCAAACCAACGTCCCCGGGCCAGCCCAACCAGTCCCGCCCTGCAAAAGGCGCGCGCAGGGCGTTCCGGCAGCCCCCGAGGGGCGGGGACTAAGCGGGTGGGAGGGGCTCCGTGAGTGGGCGGGGTCTATGGTGGACGGAGCTCGTGTCAGTCCAGATCCCCGAGGGTGGCCGCCACCTCCCTCCTTAGTTGCAATACTGGGAGGCCCAAATGGGAGAGAGGAAAGTAAAGGACAGCAGGTTCTTGGGCAAATGGTGGCTTGCATTCTGCACTCTCCTCGCCCTTCTACTAAGGATAATACATAACTGCCATAGAAACTTCTTTTAAAGTTCAACAGGGAAGCCTTCACTAGGACAGGTTAGCTTTTTTGAGGGGAGGCATTTAAAAACAAAAGCTGTAGGTTCTGGGTTGTTTGCCAACTTTTTTAGGTTGAGGGACCATTTTACTTTTTTTTTTAATGGAACTTTGTATGAAAGTCCTAGATAAATAGATAAAAATGGATATTTTTAAGTAATTTACAAATGCAATTTTATAATGCCACATTTTTATCCTAGTTCTTTTCAAGAACAATAAGGCTGGTTTGAAGACCAAGCAAATTTGAAATAGGGGTTACAGCTAAGGTTCCCATCTTACATCAGCTTCAACAGCCAAGAGAATTCTATATTTTGTTTTGGTAACATAGTTACCAAGAAATCCTGAATCAGCAGACTAGAATTTACCAAGGAGAACAGTTATATGGGGACTCTCAAAATCTCACTGATGTTTTTTAACCCTGTTAATTGTCTCATATACATATGCCTGCACACCATACATATACTTGTATATTTTAAAGCACATTACTATCTAAATATACATTATAAAGCTTAGGAAGCAAAAAAAATGCAGTATCTTTTTTTAAGCCTTCTGGGAGGGTTTCACTAATAGCATCTCCTCTTCTAACAGGAAGTAACCATTATACTAAATGTTATGTTAACTGATACTCTTAGTTGCATATATATCCACAGCCTTAGGATTTGACTCATAGCAAACCTACAGGACACAGCAGAACTGCCCCATACGGTTTCTGAGACTGTTGATTTGACATGAGCAGACAGTCCCATTTTTGCCCCTGACCTTGGGTTAGCAGCCCAAACCTTAACCCATTGTGTCAGCAGGGTTCCTTTAAAATGTATAATTCCCTAAAATATAGTATTCTTGTTTTTGTACTTTAGATAATTAGAATATCATACCACCTTTGCTCTCCTTAATAGCTATGTTTTACTCAATATTAGTTGAAATTTCGAGTTCAATTGTCCAAACCCATTTCATATCTACCAGGCTTGAATATCAACATTTACTATGCATACTGTTGTTAGGTTTTTCAATTTTTGCTTGCTCATCTGAATATTCTTTTAATGAGCATTTACTCTAGTGGTAATTGAATTGTAAATATTTTTATATGCTGTTTAGCTATTTGAGTTTCTATAAAATCCCTGTTCTCAAATTATGTTTATTTTTTGCTGGATTGTTTGCTTTTGAAACTTTATGTATAGATAATATTACATAATTTAATAGTTTCAGTGCTACTCTCATCAGTTATATGTGTCTCTTAGTTTATGAATTGTCTCTTTTTATATCTTTTGATAATCCACAAGTTTATATACTTTAAGTTATATTATCTCATGTGTTTTGCTTTATCCCTACCTGAGACCATAAGATAGATAGTCTTTCATTTTCTTCTAAGTTTTAAATTTTAGTTATGAAAAATTTTAGATAGAAAAGGATAGAGAATAATAGACCACTTAATTTTTTAAACTGTACATATTTAAACATCTCCCTCATCCCTTCCTTCTGATCTTCCTCAACAACTGCTTTCGTTATTTAGCCCTTACTCTTATGTAAATTTTAGGATCAGCAGCATAAACTCAATATAAAAAAATAGTTTGCTTTTGGTCTGAATTTAATTGAATTTATAGATTAAGGAGAATATGGTGAGTAATGTATTATGCTTTGACCTACCAACCACTAGGTCACCAGTTCTAGCCCATCAGCTGCTCCATTGGAGAAAGATGAGTCTATCTCATACCATAAAGACATCCAGCATCTGAAACCCTATGGAGCAATGCTATTCTGCCCTACAGGGTCGCTATGAGTCTGAATGGACTCAGTGGCAGTGGATTGACTGGATTTTGTTTGTTTGTGTTTGTATTTTTAGGGAGAGCAATTTTCTGAACTATGAACATTGTATATTTCTTCATGAATTCAGTTCTTTATGCTGTAATGATTTGTTTCTTTTTTTTAAATTAGGGGCTCATACAACTCTTATCACAATCCATACATACATCAGTTGTGTAAAGCGCATTTGTACATTCATTGCCCTCATCATTCTCAAAACATTTCCTCTTCACTTAAGCCCCAGGCATTAGGTCCTCATTTTACCCCGCCCTCCCCGCTCCCTCCTCCCTCATGAGCCCTTAATAATTTATAAGTTGTTATTTTGTCATATCTTGCCCTGTCCGACATCTCCCTTCACCCACTTTCGGTTGTCCGTCCCTCAGGGAGGAGGTCACATATAGTGCCTTGTAATCGGTTTGTTTCCTTATTAGAAGTCTGAAACCTCTCCCATTGTACATAGTTCCTATAATGTTTTTACTGTTAATATAAAATGAAAGATATCTTTCTTCAATTTTCATTTTTAACTGGCTATTACTGTTTTATAAAAAGCACATACATTTTGTATATTGATCTCATATTCAGAACGATGATGGATTTTTGTTCATTTACTTCTTTGTTACCACTCTATCTATTCTATGTGGACAATCACAACATTCATAAATATAATTTATTCCTTTCTTTTTTAGTTAGTAGCTTTCCTTTATTATATTTTTCTACAAATTTTATGGAATAATAGTATCTTTGCACACAGACTTTGCTGTAGTACTTCTACATTTTTATCATGAAGTATAATTTTGCTGGGGTTTTACTGATGGGGTAGTGGTTATGCATCGGGTAGGACCTGCATTCTGCACGTGTGCTGGTCAAAAAGAACAGTGCCTCTGCGGGAGAAAGACTGTAAACAGGTGCAGTCTCACAATCCCACAGGAGCTCACTGTGTGTCAGCATCGGCTCGATGGCAGTGGGAATTAAATATGAAGTTTAAACATTGTTTGAAGCTGTTTGATTTTATTATGAATTTTATGCATATTTTAAGATCATTAGTTTCCTACTCTGTTTAGGGTGTTATTTTGATAATAGATTTCCCGATGTTAAAGGAAATGTTAAAGTACACCAAATTGCCTAAAAACTTTTGGATAATTTGTATCTGCCAATATAAATAAGTCAGTGTAAATTGACTCTTATTGCATCATCTTTTCTATGTGTTGGAGCAATTGAACAATAGTGTTTATAAAATATTTAGGATTGCAATTAATACTCAATTCTGTAGCTTCCTGTATTGCTTTCTCTTCTATACTTAATTACTGTAAAATTAAATTATACATATGCACATAAATTAATATAACATAAAATAATATATTTGATATATCAGATATCAATAGATCACTATTGAAAATAGTGGCCTATTTTTAAATTTATTTGATTTTCACTATCAGTGTATATATATATGTGTGTGTGTGCATTATATATATATATAT